CAATCGGCAATCGATTTCAATTTTATCACAGCGTATCCACATTGTAAATTTTACACATAATTTTGCGAAAATATGTATCTTTAGAACATTGTATATCAATAAATTATCAATATGTTTGTATTAGACACACAATTAGAGCACGAGCCAATAAAGCAAACATTCGGACGCTAATGGTTCGAACTTCGTGCCAGAGAAGTCTGCCTCGCAATCGTAATAGGAGAGCCCTCGCTCCAGAGGCGGCTCTAATGGTAAATGTGTACGCAATGTGTGCGTATATTTCGTATTAACAAACGTGGAAGTTCTCCAAGAGTTTCGTGCCAATCAAAGGATCCACGTTCCCTCGTTAGCGAAATTCTCAGCGCGTGCATCAGAATACACCGTTCGTCTCTCAGTCGCTAACTGGCGGACCATACATAGATCCGAACTACTGACAATTTGCGGCTGCTTAGAGATAAGAGGGGCCAATGCTCTGAAAGCCGCGCTTGTGTTTCGCAGCATGTCCGTCGCTCTATTATAGACTAAGTGCTTCAGAAGTTTTGCTTTTAATCTTTGTGATGTTCAAATTTATCAATTTTGATCAACAAGTTTTTCTGATAAATGTAATAAATTAAAAGTAATCTTCGAAATTGTGGGAAATATTCATCGTAAGTTGGATAAAATATTTAAATAACATTTTTAATAAAATTTAATATTGAGTATCCCGTATAATAAAATAAAATTTTATATTAAATGTCTGAAAAAGTTTCATTTAAAAGATAACATTATTCTGCATGGTAATATTATTAATATAACAGTAAAATGGTTTTTTTTAATATGAAAACGCAATTTTTTTCATATAATTTAAAAAATATTCAAAAAGTTTATAATTTTCGATAATAAATACTTTGATTTTGTTTTACACACACACACACACACACACACGCGCGCGCGCGCGCGCGCGCACGCACGCACGCACACAAGCAAGTAAATAATTTATTTTACTTTAATTTCGTAGAGATCGATTTTACTTTAAGCAAATTCAGCCATATTTTTGCACGATGTTGCACAAAAAATAATCCAATGAAATTCAATCATCAAAAATCGAGATCAACGTTATCGCGAACAAAATTATCGTAATGTCGATGTGTCAGGAATGAGGAGATACAGACGGGAAATAGGTACAGAGAGCCGGAGGGAAAAGTGAGAGCGAGCGAGGCGTGATTGAAGCGGAGGATCGAGCGCGATCGAGCGGAGGCGAATGCCGCGTATTATTGAACGCGGGACGCATTATCCGGTAATACGCTCCGCCGCATCCGGCGTTATCGGAAACTCGTTGCCTTGCCTCGTTGGAGCCGTATTTAACTGTGGGTCGCGAATGAGTACTCTCGGCGCGCTCGGAAATGGCGGACGACAACGACGCCGTCGACGATACAGACGTGGTGACCGAGGGATCGAGAGGAGGGTTTCTTTGGCGACTGCGCTAACGAGTGAAACCACGTAACTAGCGAGTCGTGCCGTCGTGTTTGAATGCACAAGGCGGGGTCGGTTGAATGCGCTCGTCGTCGTCGAACCGATTCTTTCGATGGCGAACGACGAAATTGCTGACGTGCCTTTTCAACGCACCTTTACGTTCTTTTGATTCAGATATGCTTCCTTCAGCTTGCCCCCCCCTCCCCCCTCTGATTTGTTCGATTTCGCAACTCTCTCTTTCCCTCAAAACTGAGACAATAGAATTATGTCACGTGTTGACATTTTTTTACTCATCCCTCGCATACCTGTCTACTTTTAATCCTGAATTGTGCGACGAAATTCTGTTACAATTTATTATAGCGTGAATTCTATAACCGGCTTAAAATCGATCATATGTAAATCCGATATTCATCGTCAACGGTATATTGCTGTATTAACCCGTCGTGGAAGAATCGAAAAAAAAAAAAAAGTAAGAGTAGAAAATTAATCCTATTTATTATAGCGATTGAGTTATATATATAAAGCGCGAAATCGGCCGTCGCGAGGATCGCCGAAAAAGGATAACATGCCCGCGAATGATTGGACTCGATCGAAAGCGACTACTCTCGACTTGAGAGTGCATCGAACAGACGCGCTGAATGATTAATGCACTCGGGCAAATACTTTCAGCGCATGAGGTTTGCCGTGCAGTTACGCCACCGCCGCTGTCTGCTTGCACGCGATGCACTCGGGCGCGCCATTAGAACACGATTGATCACGTGTATTTGTAACTGCTCAAACGTTACCTGCCGAGTGATCAATCGTGCAACCGCCCCTTCGACGGACCGACCGACCGACCGACCGACCGGTCGAATTCCGAAGTACCTACTACTCGCGACTCGCCCCAGCAGTCAATGATCTTCTTAAGCGGCGATGCGGAAACTGCGGAAACACACCCTGAGAGAAGAGGGTCATGCGAGGAAATTTCCAGGCAAGCTGGAAAGCTTCATCTTCTTTTTTCTCACGTGCGAGAGAAAATGAGAGAGAGAATAATAAATTTGCCGCTGTACACTAAAACTAACGAATAACGCAAATAGAATTGCAATTTTTAACAAATAAATAATTTTGCCAATTCAGCGACACAATCGAATTTTGTGTAATCTTTTTTTTTTCGTTGAAAATTAAAACATTTATTGTGCGAAGATATAATGAAAAATAAAATTATGCCTCAAGAACGTAAATATGCAATAACAAAGTGTTATCCTCTCATTTTTTCAAGTAAATTTTTTTATAATTTGCCAGAGTTTTTTTTGTCTGAACAAAACTGCCGTATAATCAAATACCTTTCATAATTAGAATATTATTGTTTCCCGATAATGCTAGTGATATTTTTTAAATGATTCAAAAAACAAACCAATTGGAATGCAAACCAAAATACGCGGTTGGAAATTTTTACGTCGCAAAAATGAAGAAGATAAAGTTGAAATATCGATCGAATGTTTTAATAGACAAAAAAATTTTCTGCAAAAAAATGTTTCGGTACACGGCAAGATTTTATAGATGTATAAATATTACCGAACACGTAATTCTTGAAGAGCGACATATCTCAGTTTGGCACTCTCGGCCGTCTTTCCTCTGTAAACGTGTTTAGCATAAATTATCGAGGTTGCAGAGACTCCTTACAAGCTCTCGCGAGGAAACCTCTTCGCTTGACGAACTCGCAGACTCGTAAACGCAAACGACGACGGTTAATAAGGAAGCAAAAACAACGCTTTAAAAATGCAAACGCGGAACACGCGAATAATAAATACCTGGCCGCTGTAACCAAGAGAGTAAAGCGTGAGAGACGGGAAGGAAGTATGTGGCAACAGATTTACGACAAGCAGCGCGCGTTAGGTGGAAAGGAAAAGAGATGTGGAAGGAAAAAGCGTGGAGAGGGACAAAAAAAAGCGTAAAAGAGGTACAGGGAGAGAAGATATAGAAACAGAGAAAAAAGAAGAAAAAAATTACAAAAAGAGGATATGTGCAAAAAGACAGAGAGAGAGAGAGAGAGAGAGAGAGAGAGAGAGAGAGAGAGAGAGAGAG